AGAATGAATATATTGATAAGATCTCTTCTCTGGTCGCTGATGATAGACTTAAAAGCTAGGGATTTTTTTTTTTTGTTTGACTCATTGATTATTTGTTTAGGGTACAAAAAAGGTATGGAGCACTAGCTATGACGACAAAAAACCCATATTCCTCCTCTCGCCACAGGAAAAAGCCAACCCCCCGAGCCCCTCTGGTATGGAGCCAACCGCATATCTCGCCTCAAAGAAAAGAAACCCAAGCCCGGCTAGATGGATGAACAAGGAAATCCTAACTAAGAAGAAAGCAGGAAGGGCCAGGAAAAGCCGCTGAGAAATCCTAAAAAGACAAAAGAAAGGTTAGTAGCAAGCCACGTAGGCCCTGAAGGGCGAGTCCACTCATTCAAGTGGGAAGCGACGCATGAAGGGCGCTAAGATAGGGGGCCCCCCCCAGACCCAGTCCAAGGAGACAGTGCAATACCATGGAGGGAAGGAGGAGACCAGCCGGCTGTGGACGATAACCAGGGGGAGGGGGAAGGTGTAGCAGTAGGGTGCCAGCCGATCCGACCGTAGGGAGAGGAGAGCGGAGGAGTAGACCCAAAGACCTTAAACATCATCTATTGGTAATCGCATTCGTGTCTGACTAGGCAGGCTCTTAGGGGAACAAAAGAATGGGGAGATCGACCGTAGCCTGTTGGCTGTTCACCCCTACTGCAACTGTAGTCCCGGCCGTCTGACGATGGTGGTTAAGGGGTTGCCGACCGTGAGAAGGCTAAGTGAGGCCAACTCAGGAGGAGGAGAGGACTCCCCACCACGCGTGGGGGGAGGAGGAAGGAGGAGTAAGGACGATCATCAATGGCCGCCTAGGCAAAGCATAGCAGGTGTTTTACCGCGTCTCTCATGTAGTCCCGTGTTCTGGGAGAGATAGCGTCACTGTAGTGGAAGGGATCCTACCACCTGCCAGCCAGCTGAGGAGGGCCTCCGACTGACCATCCCCCAGGGAGAGAGAGGGCCCTGCGATGGTAGACCGAAGTCAATACTGTTACACATAATAGCGTAATCGGTGCGGCACGTGACTAAATACATAAGGTCACGTGTTCGACTCCGGGCCCCGCCGTAGTCTTCGTAGTGCTAAGATATTAGCACACGATATAACAAGGCATCTATGCAGCCCGCTCCGCGAAGATACGAGGCATGCGACCGAGGGGTTTTCGCTGGATAACATAGAAGGAGCGCCGCTCTATAAGATAAGACTTAGTTGGTTCAGATTTGGTCGGTTAGTTATTGAGCTACTACCTCTGCAAGTCTATATGCAATTACAAGAAGTAATATGCAGCTCCCTTTAGCTCGTGTAAACTAGAGTCATCCGGAAGACCTAGTTATGATTGGTTAATAACAACTCACTGGTCGAGTTAGTTATCTTCGTCATGCACTCTAAGCTATGCACATAGAAGAGTCATTGATAAGTCCTTTGACAGAGCTGATCACTCCACTAAGGAAGAGAGCGGGGAAGTTAGTTTTCAGGGTCAAATGGAGTTCGCACTCCAAGGACACTGAAGCGTTAGTATGGCAGGTACATAGTCAGTAAGGGATTAGATGTAGGCCGCGACCACCCAGACGCGGAATATAAATATCGAGGTGCCTCCCTAGCTTTAAGTCTATTATCAGCGACCGGAGAAGAGATCTTATCAATATATTCGTTCTACTTTACTTCTATCTTTACGAGCCTTCTTGACTATCTCCGACACAGAAGATTACAGGGCCTAGTGTATACTCGCTTGACTCTAGAGTTACCTACCCCCTAATACTATATTGATAACCTCTGGTTACCAAGACTCTCTGAATGATCCCTTTGAGACCACAAATTCAATTAGTGGACTTTGAAAAATATTCAGACACCACCTTCGAACCACAATCCACGCCTATCTACGTCTCCTTCGAAACACTTTGGGAAACCGAATTAGCGGACATCCCGTTATTCGAAGAAGACGAACCCTCCTGGTTCACCTACTCTGAAGAGTGGTCGGAACCTGATTTCTTCCGCTACTACTTCAACAACCCTGACTGGGAACCTTACGGGGAACCCACCTGCGATACAACGTACCACAGTACGACTTCCGTCCTCTGCGACGACGAAGGAGGATACGAGGGATCCATGGCTCCTTGGGCGTTGGAAATTGAGCTTTTGCACCAACGTGAACTAAACGAGGAACAATATGACGGACCTACCTCAAATTACGGAGAGCGGTGAGCCGAAGGACACCGAAATGGAGGAAACCACCGACTCTCCACGATCCATAGGTGGCTGGGACCCCCGAACAGTCGGAGGACTCTTTCAGAGAAGTGGACAACCCAGCCTACCACGCGACTCACTTGGTCTAGGCTCATTCCTAGGAGGACGACCTCCACCACCAAGCCCATTCACCGAAGAGCAAAGATTCAAAAACTTTGCGACGTTAGTAGGAAGGGTGACGGCCCAGCTAGACCGAAGCATCACCCAGACCCAGAATGACCAGCAAGTCGCCTATGCGGCACTGACGGAAGCAGGAAAGCGCCTTGCTGACGAACTAGTCGGCGTGAAAGCAAGGATGGACAAAGGCGAAAGGTTCATGGGAGATAAACTAGCCAGGATAGAACGAACGGCCCAAGGGCTGCAAGGAGATGTGGCGGCGGAACTGGAAAGCTACCATTTAAGGGTAGCCGAGGAAATGACCAGGTCAAACTTGGCCCAACAGGAGCAGTCCAGGAAAACTGCGAGGTTGGAAAGGGAAGGTGCGGAACGTAGCGTGGATGCTATGGAACGGGACAATACCTTGGCTCGGATGATTGAGGAGCTTCAAGAACAACGAAGGACGGATAGAAAGGCCTTCGACTTGTTCCAAAAGAAAGCCGCAAAGGACCATAAGGACCTAACCACGGCCCTCAACGAGAAGTTGACTGAGTATGTCAACAATACCAACGAGCATCGAAAAGGGATCAAAGACGCGGTTAGACGACAGGAAAAAGAATTTGCCACTTTGTCACGGCAAATGAAGGATTTCCAAACCGATGTCAGAACCGAAATAGCGGATATGACGGGAATGATGAGCGAACTAATTGCCGATGGAGTAACCTTGGCATTAGAAAGACGATTCGGAAAGGTCCCAACAGGCCACAACCCCCAACCAGGCAATATGGGGTTTTCACCTCTACCACCTCCAAGCCCCTACGAAGGAGCTTCCTATGCCGGAACAGTCCATGAGACTGAAGTAGACCACCAAAGCGCTTACGCCCCACCCCCCCCACCGGTGCCCCCAAAAAGGGATCCAAACGGTGGACCTCCTGGCGGAGTCGGTGGACCTCCCAGCGGTGGCGGTGGACCTCCCGGCGGAGGCAGTGGACCTCCTGGCGGTGACGGTGGACC